TTCTTAAATAAAGAAATGTCTCTATTAAATGAGAAAAATGACTAAGAAAAAGCAGTTGCCCCAGTGAGTCCACAGGTTTAAACTATTGAAAGAAACCTGTCAAAATTAATAATGTATACCTGTTTCACACTTAAAATTTTGATTTTAACAACATTAAAAAAAAAGGCCAATAAAGATACTATAAATGCCAACAGGTAAGAACAGAAATTAAACTGTCTTCACCAATATTGTTTAAATAATTACATTCCTGATCAGAGAATTCTGTTCTAATTGTTCAGTTATAATAAATAAAAATACCTAGTTTAAGCTCACATTTTTTTATCTTAGAAAAAAGAAATAGACTCAAATATGCCCAGAGCTGTTTTATTACTGACTAGTAAGCAAAGAAGGCTGAACAATGACTATTTATACAGAGAAAATAGAAAGCAGCTATGAACTAACTTGAGATTACATTAAAGTCATGAGAAGCATGTATTTTCAAAAACATTTAAACCAATTAGATATTTAAAACCAGGTTCTATAATAAAGAAGAACAATGACATTCTAGGGTAATCTGGTTTAAACTGGGTTAAATACAACGATCTTTGTCCAATATTTTTTTCTCTTGAAGTCATGTTTAAAAAATATTAATTATAAGCCCCATTCCTGCATGGATAGTGTGTGACTCTGGATATCAACAGGAAACTAATAGCCATCTCAAAGGGGTGGAGCCAAAGAGTGTAAAATAAGGAGAGTTTTTAACAGAAGTCAGGGCAGAGTTTTTGGAAGCTAATAAAGTATGAAGAAGCACAAGAGTACTGTTTCTACAGTAAGATGCTATTATCAGCACTAGACCAGAAGAGCCTAAGGAAGTAAACGAAGTTATCCTAACCAAAGAATAACTGATGCCAAAAAGGGAACTACTTAAAAAGAGCAGTGTCAAGCAAGGACATAGCCAGTATCAGAACCTCAACAAAATGAGTACACTGCGGGACAGGGGACCAAATATCAGACCACTTTTTTCTCTTGCTTTCCAATGGATGTTCTGTTAATTGAATCCATCTGAAAATCAAGGTCAATGCAGAGAAGTCAGCCTTCTAGAGAACAGAGCAGGACAAAACTGGACAAAGAATGGATTTGGAGATCAAATGGAGAAGGAGGAGCAGAGACACCTGTGCTTCAAATATGACATCTAACTTCTTTACTCAGAGAAGTTACAAGTGAGGTTATATTTTAGCTTTGAATTTATCTCATAGGCATACATATTACAAGTTAGTAATGGAAAACTAGTAATGGTGCCAGAAATGGTGGTAAATGGGAACACTTATAAATTCACTTTAATACAGGTGATCCCCAACTTACGATGGTTTCATTTAGGATTTTTTGCCTTCATGGTGCAAAAGTGATACACAGTCAGTAGAGTCCATACTTTGAGCACCAATAGAACCATTCTATTTTTCACTTTCAGTCAGTATTTAATACATTACATGAGTATTCAGCACTTTCTTACAAGATAAGCTTGGGGTTAGATGATTTTTGCCTAACTGTAGGCTAATGGAAGTGTTCTGAACATGTGTCAGGCAGGCTAGGCTAAGCTGTAATGTTCAGTAGGTTAGGTGTATTAAATATATTTTTTGAATTATATTTTAAAATTACAGTGGGATTATCTGGACATAATGCCACCGCAAATTAAGGTGCATTTGTATACAATTGCCTTTTGCAGACTACATTGGGAAAAGACAACTCTGGAGGGTAGAGGACCCATTATGGAACTTGATAAGGCTGCTTTGTTAGTAGATACTAATCCTATAATTTCTAAAATTAAATATGTTGCATTTAACTTGCTTAAAACAATGTCTGGTTTACAATAAATAATAGGAGTTAGCTTTTATAATAATTGTTCACAATTTTCTTAAAATTACCCATCCAAACAATGGAGGATAAAAATAACTTTGTTCTTTTGTGAATATCAATGAGATTATCTGGCAACTGCTAGGCTGAAATCTATTGCAGACAGATCAACCTTTAAAGTCACGGGAGGCTTCTTAAAAAACTAAAGCTTATGAATATCTCTCTTGATTTCAAGTGAGTAGTTAAGTGTGGCACAATATGGCACTCCCCAAAAATGCCATTTTGCCATAAGAATTATTTTGAACTAAAGGCACTTGAAAACCTGCAGGTACAAAAAAGACACTGTGATTTTCCCCCTTTCTCCCTGTAACAGGATAAAAGAAACAATCTATCACCAGAGATGGGAGATAAACCCTGGTGGGAAAGATGCCAGCCCCTGTAGCAGGATAAAAGAAACATTGTCACAGTGACTGGGAGTTCAGGTTAAGAAAAATCTGTATAAACATACCTTGTTAAAATAACTTATATTTCTTATACCCCTGCCACAACATTTTAATTGTTTTTTCATTATTGGGAACCTTTATTCAACTTTCTGTATAATCATTTGGGTTTCACCACTTCTTGGGCTCCTCATTTTCCATGAGGACTTCCATATACATGCAAAATAAAATATTTATTCTTGTCTTCTGTTTAATTTGTTTTATGTCAACTTTATTCTCAGGCCCAATTGAAAACTAAGAAGGCAGAGGTAAATTTTGCCTCTTATAATGGTAGGATAAATCAGCTTCATTGTAATTCTTAATTATTCAATTTAATCAAATCAGTTATCAAACAAATCAAAAACAATTTTTTAAGCTGAAGTAAGACAGTTAAGTAATCTAATTTGCCAAACAGTCATACAGCCATTACAATAATAAGTTAAGAGAATGGCCTTCAGTATCACAAACAATCTAGTTTAGACCCCAAGTGTATGATATGCAAGTTATAGTTTAAGATTTGATTTCTCCAACTCTAAAATTATTACAAGCATCAAAGTAAGGACTCAAATTTTCAGTCATTATCATAATATGGCTGATATTGTAAATATGAGAGGCTATTACTATAAAAATTTATTAAGGATATCATTTTAGCTTAAATAATATGGGCTTGTTAATATCAATTGATAGTATTTTCATGTTAAAATATATTTCATTATCATTTGCTATCAATGGTTTGTAAAACTTAATATTTTTCTTTGATATATTGACCTATGAAGCCACTTACTCAACTTAAAACAATTGTTACTAAATCCAATTGATTAAAATACACTAAAACTTTTCAGTAAATTAAATAACTATGAAATGTTTGGGATAGTATCTAACATATTCAAGATTAGGCAGAAAAGTAACATTAGTTAAATCTCAAAAAGTTTTAGCTCCTTACTGAGTACATTGTTCATTTTAAAAAATTGCTCCTCACAGAAAAATTAGCTTTTACAACACTAAAAAATAAAAATAAAAAAAACTCTTCCTTATCCTGAGCTATTGAAATAATCTGTTACATTTTACAAATATTCTCATGGAGATTTTATTTTAAACTTATATATGTATATTGCTTATAAAAAATTGATGTGAAATATTTTTATTTTCCATTCTTTTTATCATTTATGTCATGATCATCTTAATATGGTCAGTAATTGTAATTCTACTTTTCTTAATTTTTTAGTAAGTTTTAATAACCTTCCTCTGAATATGAAATTATTAATATATGGAGTCATTTTATTTTCCTAAATTCATAAGGATTATAATTTTACAATTTTTTTTGCATTTGTTAGGTGTAAAACTTTAGTGAAACATTAAAACACAGATAAGTTTAAGTTTCCATGTGTGTATTTAAAGTACAGCCATACTTTGGAGATATCATGTGTTCAGTTCCAGATCACTGAAATAAAGCAAATGTTACAATATCATGAGTCATGCACATTTTTTATTCCTAGTGCATCTAAAAGTTAACTATCCTGTACTTTAGTGTGCAAAAGCATCATATCTATAAAAGCAACGCACATACCTTAATTTAAAGATGTTTTATTATTACAAATTCTAATGATCATCTGAGACTTCAGCAAATTATAATCTCTTTGCTGGTGGAGCATCTTGCTTTGATGTTGATGGCTGCTGACTGATCAGTGGGTGATTGCTGAAGGTTAGAGTGTAATTATGGCAATTTCTTCAAATAAAACAACAAGAAAGTTTGCCACATTGATTGATCATTCTTTCCCTGAATACTTGTGTGCAGTTTCTGTTTGATGAAATTTTATTCACAGAACTTCATTCAAAATTAAAGTCAATCTCCTGTTACCCTTCCACTTCTTGCTTTATCAGGTAAATTTATGTAATATTCTAATCCATTGTGATTATTTCAGCAATCTTCACAGGGCCAGGTACAGTGGCTCATGCCTATAATCCCAGGACTTCCAGAGGCCAAGGTGTGAGGAGTGCTTGAGACCAGGAGTTCAAGACCACCCTGGGCGACATAGCGAGACCTTGATTCTGCCAAAAATCCAACACAAACAAAAAAAATAAAAAGAAAAGAAAAACATTGGTCACTGCATCTTCACCAGGAGTAGATTTCATCTTAAGAAATCATTTTCTTTGCTCCCCCATAAGAAGCAACTACCCATCTATTAAGTTTGATGATGAGATTACAGTGATTCACTCACATTTTCAGACTCTACTTAATCTGCACTCACTTCCTCCAGTGAAGCCTTGAATGTCTCAAAGTCATCTTGAAAGATTGGAATAAGCTTCTTCCAAACTCCTGCAGGTGTTGGTACTTTGACTTCCTCCCAGGAATCACAAATGTTCATAGTGACATCCAGAATGGTGAATTCTTTCAAGAAGGTTTTTAATTTCTTTTGCCCAGATTCCTCAAAAGAATCACTATCTTGTAACAAAACTTAAAAGTCAAAATTATTCCTTGATCCCTGGGCTACAGAATGGATGTTGTGTTATCAGTCATGAAAACATTAATCACCTTAGACATCACCTTTAGAGCTCTTGGGTAACTAGATGCATTGTCAATGAGCAGTGACATCTTGAATTTTTTTTTTTTCTTTTTCTTAGCAGTAGGTCTCAGTCTCAACAATGGGCTTAAAATATTCAATAAAACATGCTATAAATAGATGTTCTAACACCCAGGCTTCGTAATTTCATTTACGGAGCACAGATTAAATATAGCATATTTAGTAAAGGTCTCAGGATTTTCCGAATGGTAAATAAACATTGGCTTCAAATTAAAATCATCAGCTGCATCAGCCCCTAACAAGTGAGTCAATCTGTTCTCAGAAGCTTTGAAGTCAGGCATTGACTTTTATTCTCTACCTGTGAAAGTTTTTAATGGCATCTTCTTCCAATAGAGGACTGCTTCATCTACATTTAAATGCTGTTGTTTAGTGCAGCCACTTCATTAGTGATCTTAGGTAGCTCTTCTGGATAACATGTGGTAGCTTCTCCGTCAGCACTTGTTGCTTCACCTTGCACTTTTATGTTCTGAGGAGGACCTCTTTCCTTAAACCTTATGAACCAACCTCCACTAGCTTCAAACTTTTTTTCTGCAGCTCTTTCAACCTCTCACAACCTTCACAGAGTTGAAGAGAGTAGGGCCTTGGTCAGGATTAGGCTTTGGTTTAAGAGAATGTTGTGGCTGATTTGGTCTTCCATCAAGACCACTTACACTTTCTCTCTATCAGCAATAAGCCTGCTTTGCTCTCTTATGATTTACATATCCAGTGGAGTAGCACTTTTCATTCCCTTCAAGAAGTTTTTGTTTGCATTCACAACTTGACTAACTGTTTGGCACAAGAGGTGTCGTTTTCAGCCTGTCTTGGCTTTCGGCGTGCCTTCCTCGCTATGCTTCATCATTTCTAGCTTCTGATTCAAACTTGGAAATGTGTGTCACTTCATTTGAACATTTAGAGATCATTGTAGAATTATTAATTGGCCTAATGTCAATGTTTCAGAAAATAGGGAGCCCCGAGGAGAGGGAGAGGTGGGGGAAACAGCTGGTGAGTAAATTAGTCATAACAGACACATTAATCAATTGTGTTTGCCTTCTTATATGAGCATGGTTTGTGGAGTACCAAAACAATTACAACGGAAACATCAAAGGTCATTGATCACATATCACTGTTAACAGATATAGCAATGATGAAAGCTTGAAATATTGTGAAAATCCCCAAAATGTAACACAGATATTAAATGAGCACATGCTGTTGGACAAATGGTGCCAGCAGACTAGGTCAACACAGGGTTGCCACAAATCTTCGATTTGTAAAAAAACCTCATTATCTGCAGAGCACAACAAAATGAAGCACAATAAAATGAGATATGGTTATGGTTACAGAAACAGACAACAGCTGTTATAGTGTTTTAAGATCTAAGACATTTATGAGAGTCCATGAACTTTATGGTAAAATAGTACTTTACCTGCTTACTTAATGGAGTATTTTAACCAAAACTCCACATTTCTGTAACATCTTAATATTTCAGTAATGTATTATTTAATACATGACACAATATACAGATTTTGGAATGTTCTCTTTTTTAAAGTCACATTAGTATTGACTTACAATTAAAGCAAGAGGTCTGCATTAAAATTATGGCAGAAAAACAGTATAAATGATTTTCTACATAATATGAAGTCATTCAGTATAAAACTTTATTCTTAAGTGACACTCAAGATAATATGATGATATATTCATCATATGCTAAGTTTATTTGTCATAATATACCTGAATACCTTTACATTTATTTGAAAATTTTAAAATAGTATAACAGAATGAAAGAAGTAACTTTCAAAGTGACATAACCTACTTTCTCCATTATATTCTAAGTGAGGAAATGGAAAATAAGATATTTACTTATGACCATTTGTTATTTGTTTCTATAAGAAGCTCAAAATAATATTATATTGGGTCATTTTTCTTCCATAATGATTAATAATAGGTATTCTTTTTCAATATAGACAGTCTTCAGTTGATATATTCTAATTTTATATGTTGTTCAAGTTACAAGACTCAGATGGAAGAAAGGAAGACTTCAAAACATAAAATATAGGATTTTGTTCATTAATACTATAAAACAAAACCAGAGGGATCAAAATTTGAGGATTGTTTTTGTTTCAATTTGTTTCTAAGCGATGCCACTAAGAGTCATCGCTTAGTAAAGTCTGAAGGGCCTTGCCAGGTTAGATGCTCCCGTTTCTTCATTTACTGATGATCATGCAGCTGGTTGCAAAACTGGAACTAAAATTCTCAGATACACATAATCCAGTTTACTATACTGTAAATCCTTCTTCATAAAACAGTTAATTTTTAGAAATTCAAATCAAGAAAAACAATACATATAATCTTTTTGTGAAACACTATAAACGTGCAGAGCTCTTACTAATATTCTTTTAAGAATACACAGGTAACACATTTGATCTAGTTAAAACTTCATTGTTCTGAAATATTCTGAGAAACTTTGTGATTCTTCATCAAATTCAGCAAATTTGTTTTATACATTATTTGCCATACATCCCCACTCCAACCTTTATGGAAACTAATTTTTAATCTGATAAGACAGTTATTGAGATTGATTATATTAATGGCTTTTCCTAAACATCTAGTTTTAGTGATTCATTGAGCAAGTCTTAAAACAAGATAAACAATCCCAATTTTGCTGCCTTTGAAAATCCTGTTCTTACACTTCTTCATCATTCTTACCAGTCTAGTAACTTTCTCTTCTATCCCCATTCTAGCCCTGAAAGCCTCATCTTATTATCAGAAGTCCTAAGTGATACATCGTTCAGTGTGGAGCTGTAATTGCTTTGCCTTCCATAAACTACTTCAGTAAAATTTATTCAAGGTCAAAGCTGTCACTTTTCTCTCTCTCTGCAGTTTGGCTCTAAAATGAAACTGTTTTGTTTAAATTATATCTGAAGGTTTAGGTGTCCAAAAACTAAAGGGAAGCACTTGTAAAGTTTAATCTATGAGACACACACAAAAAGCAACACAAACATAATTGCCTGAGCAATGGTCAGATTTAAGCCTACAGAATAAAAGCCCTGCATATTATTTGCATAACTATAACTTAATTTTGTTATTGAAACCAACAACTTTAATACTGTGTCCTTGATTATCTGTTCATAATCTATAAACTGAGTAACATAATTATGGATGTGGGAGATGTTAGGATATTGCAAATCACTACAAATATATGTTTCTCTCATCATTGTCTTATTTTAGAACTTTTCCTTGAAATACCCCTAGCCACAAATCAATGTTTTTTCGATAGTGAAAATGGAAACATTACTATTATAGTACAATGTCAAATAAAAATAATAATTTCTCTTTTTGTAAACAACCTATCTTAAAATTTAGTGAAATGAATTTGTTTATTTATTTATTATACTTTAATTTCTGGGGTACATGTGCAGATCGTGCAGGTTTATTACATGCCATGGTAGAGGTTTGCTGCATCCATCACCCCATCATCTATATTAGGTAATTCTCCTAATGCTATTCCTCCCGAATCCCCCCACCCCCTGCTATTCCTCCACTAATCCCCCAGCCCCCAAGCCCCAGTGTGTGATGTTCCCCTCCCTGTGTCCCTGTGTTCTCATTATTCAACTTCCACTTATAAGTGAGAGCACACAGTGTTTGGTTTTCTGTTCTTGTGTCAGTTTACTGAGAAGGATGGCTTCCAGTTTCATCCATGTCCCTGCAGAGGACATGAACTCATCGTTTTTATAGCTTCATAGTGTTCCATGGTGTATATATGCCACATTTTCTTTATCCAGTCTATCATTGATGGGCATTTGGATTGGTTCCACCCCTCATGCCAGTTAAAATGGCAATCATTAAAAAATCAGGAGACAACAGATGCTGGAGTGGATGTGGAGGAATAAGAAGGCTTTTACACTGTTGGTGGGAGAGTTAATTAATTCAACCATTGTGGAAGGCAGTGTGGTGATTCCTCAAGGATCTAGAAATAGAAATACGATTTGACCCAGCAATCCCATTACTGGGTATATACCCAAAGGATTATAAATCATTCTATTATAAAGTGAAATGAATTTTTGTCCCACTATGTTTGATGAATTTTAGATGTCATTGGTATAATTGTGTAATTGTTTTATAATAGTATAAAATGGAGAAAAGGTGATATTTTCGCATTCACTATATAATTCATTTTCAGTTCTTTGTTTTTCATGCATTTCTAACTTGTTAGAAGATGAGATGAACACACCACCTAGAAATGCAGGCCAACTGTGGAGCATAGTTTTTTATAGGGACAGGACTTTAGAAGAGTCACCAAATTCTATGGTCTAACTCTATTTTGATCAGGAGAAAATTTACTACATCAATAAATTCAGTGAAATAAGGCTCTGAGAAGAACAAATGTATCATTTTTCATCAATTCATTCTGTAATATTTTTGGACTTTCATTTTGCATCGAACATTTTATATGATAAGTAACATGCATGATCCACTGAAAGAGTTTCATTGGGAAAAACCAACTGACTTAGGAGAGGAGGGGGGAGACAGTATTAAAGAGAGAATTTTTAGTAGAGTAATCTCGCCAGACATGGTGTTGGTAAAATTAAAATGTATGGGTAGTGGGGGTCAGGATGGGAGTAGACAAGTATAGATACATAAATTTTGAATGTAATGTGTGTATTTTTTCATTTCTATTTTGAAAAACTGTTTTCATACTGTGATATAACAAATCCATATCTGATATTGTAGTTAATTTTCTAAATTTCAACAGTTTTATGACATTTCTAGTATTTATAATTTTATCCTTTCTGGAAGCCTCAGGAATAATACGGATTTTCTCGTTCCTTAAATGCTATTTTTATGCTCAAGATACATGTCTGCAAACACAAATAGGAATTGAATATGCAAAGGAAAGGGAGAGGACAGCAAAAATATATAAAGAAGGCATTATTTAGTTTGCCTAGAATAAATCATAAAAGAGAATAAGTAGTGAAAAATAAATGTATATTCATCTATGAACTTATTGATTCAGTATTCAATATTACTTTATGGATAGAAATGAGTAAATTATATGAAATATAGTAGTTCACGTTCAAAAGTTTAGAGCTTATTCAGGAAATGATAAGAAATAATTTAATATGATGAAACTTTAGGCTTTTGAAGATCACTCTGATATAGCATGATGAATGGAAGATGGAGATAGGAAGGAATGGCAAGAAGCCATTGGAGACATCTAGATAATTAATAAGAGCTTAAATAAAGGCAGTGGCCAAAGGCAAGGTAAAAAGACAATTTTTCCAAGTTATTTGGAAAAGTAAAATTGACAGATTTTATAACTAATTAAGTAAGAACTTTTAGTTTAAAGAATGGGAGATACCAAAGAGCAGCTGCTGGGAGTTTAGCTTGGGTCTCCGGTGCTTGGTGGAATTTATCAAAACAAGAAACATAAAGGGTAAGGTTTTTATGAAAAAAATAATGTCTTCCATTTAAACATGTAAGGTTTTAAAAAGCCTTGCAATATCCAAGCGAAGATGTCTAATTAACAAGTAGGATAGGATATAGAGTATATTATCCAGGATAGAAATACAGATTTTTTTTTTTAACTGACGTTTCTATAGATGAAAGGGAAGACATAGAGAAGAAATATAACTTTATTAGGATCTGTAAATTAAGAGGAATATTAAAGTGCATACCTTGTTTTTTAAAACAAAACAAAACAAAACATCTAAGGCTCATGTTGAGGATGCAAAAGTGTGGCCAGAGTGGTGAGATGGTAGACAAAAGAAAGAGGTGCCACATGAGCCTACGGAGGGAAATTTTTAGGAATTACAGTAAGACCCATAGTGCCAAATGATTCAGACAGTCCAAGTGTGATAACGTGAAAAATACTTATTTAATTTTGCCAGGCGAGGTGGCTCACACCTATAATCACTTTGGGAGGCCGAGGAGGGTGGATCACTTGAGGTCAGGAGTTTGAGACCAGCCTGGTCAACAAGATGAAACACCCCATCTCTATTAAAACTACCAAAAATTTTCAGGCATGGTGGTGTGAACCTGTAGTCCCAGCTTCTTGGGAGGCTGAGGCATGAGAATCCCTTGAACTCAGGAGCTGAATCTTGCAGTGAACCAGATAGCACCACTGCCCTCCAACCTGGGTGACAGAGTTAGACTCCACTTGAAAAAAAAAAAAAAAAAGAAAAAGAAGGAAAGAGACAGAGAGAGAAAGAGAGAGAGAGAGAAAGAGAGAGTGAGAGAGAGCAAGTTTATTTAATTTTTATACAGGAAGTTTTGATGAATGTAGAAAAATCAGTTTTAATGAAGTGATTAGATAAAAGTCAGACTGCAGGACTTTAAAAGTGAATGAGACATAAAATGTACGGAAAGTCACTGCACTGTATTATTTCAAGAATGTTGCCTGAGAAGAAAAGACATAAAACAGATAGAGGATAACTTAAATTCAGTTAACTCTTTGGAAGGATGGTATACATTAAGCATTTTAAAATGCTATGAGAATGCTAGGGGAAAAAAAGAGATGTTGAATATATTGTTTAAAAAAGAGATAAGGTGACCAGATAAAGCCACAAAGTGTTTAAGATGTCATGGAATCCATTTTTTAAAATTCATGCAGTAGCCTTAAACACATGACATCACTCTGTGTTTAATGAGTCTGAGGAAAAAATACAATTTTAGACACCAGTTTGCCAGAAAATGGGAAAGTATGCCAGAAAAGTATGTTCAGGTAAAGTGGGAAATTAACAGAGCTTTTTCTTGATGACCTCTATAAATTAAGAGATTTTTTTCTAAAATGGATAGAAAATGAGCATGGAGCTTATCTTTAAGAAAGTGGTGAAGATTTGAAATAATGGCAGTCCAAATGAAAAAGAGGGCTTAGTAGGAACTTACCATGTTTCCTGAAAAAGATTTTCTCATTCATTCGTCGAATAATTATCATCTATTTCTATCAGGCATTATTGTAAACTCTGGGGAAAAAAGAAAGAGAAAGATGGATATAGTCAATGTTTTATGGGACGGTGAGAATTTAAGTAATCTGTAAAATAATATGCAGAGTTCGGTGATTTGCTGTATGAGGTCATCATAAAAGACCTTTCTAGGGAAGCGATATTTGCTAGATATGAGAGACTTGTGTAAGATGTGACGTTGGAATATGGAGGGATGGGGATGAAAAGGAGTCTTTCCCAGATAGGAAATAGCAAATGTGAAGTTCCTAAGTGGGAACAAAAAGGAAAAATAATTAAAGCTTAGCCTGCTCAAAAACCCTGAAAGAGCTCCAATGAGGCTAGAATGGAATGCAGATTGTCATGAAAATGATATGAAAGTACGTGGTAGTTGAATTAGATCCTGCAGAACTTTAAATTATTTTAAGAAACTGAGTTTTTATTTTAGGAGTGATTAAGGAAGAGAGAAAGAAGGAGAGATCCTGTTTGGTTTTGAATAAAATAGAAAAATAGAATTTGGCTGCAGAGGAGCAAATATATAAGAAAAAATGTACCAGAGGAGATGGTGGGAGAAAGTTTAGGGAGCTATTGAAATAGTTCTGGTGAGTGATAATAATGGTTTAGGCAACAATGTTATAATTATAGACAGAAAGCTAGAATAATTCACATTAGCATGCAAAATTCTCAGTTTTTGTGATTGTCTGACAAAATGGACTAAAGATCAAGAAGTTATCACAAGCTGCCAGCCAACCAAACTGAATGGTGGGTGTTGCCATTCAGTGAGATAGGAAAAGACGGGTGATAGAATTATGAATTTATTTTGAACCTGTTGAGTTTGTTGTGTATTTGATATCTCCAAGTGAAAATTTAATATTGAATGGAGAATTGGATCTACAGATCTGGAACTCAGATCAAATAGTAGTGCTGGTATTTCATCTGTAAAGGAGAATGGTAGGCTGGCCAAACACAGATTAATTTAAAAAGATGAGCAGAATATGAAAGAAAAGAAGTGTACAGAAAACCAAGAATTCATTGCAAAATAAAGGAATATTAAAATTAAAAATTCTGAAGTAGAAAAGTAGGTGATCCAGAAGGTAGCTGTATAAGTGGTTAGCCAAACTGCTGTGAGGTTAAGAAAGGTTTTCAAATGATCACATCATAGCTACAATTTAATATTAAAGACAAAAATGTGCAAGTCTGGAGCTGTGACTTTGGAAACCATTGCTGTGTAATTGTAGATGTATATATGTCTCTTTTATTTGGATGTTAGAATATCCTAAGATCATTATAGGACTTGGTATGGAGGATAAAATTATGAACCTGATAGCAAAATTGGTCAAGAAAATTGAAGATTTATCAGTGTGCTGGGAACAGATGAGTAGATGACAGCATGAGCTACCAAGGAGAGGATGAATATAAAATATTGATGGAGGTTGGGTTACTAATTCAATCCAGGGCACTTCCTTCATGTTGTCAAAGTACCTGGGATTATTAATTATTAATTATAGGAAAACAGATTCAAAGTAAGAAGATATATAAATAGAAGGGGTATATTTTATCAAGCCTGCATTTGCCTGGTGAGCTGTCTGTACTCTTCCAGATCTTGTACAGTGCAAATGAGGAGTTCTTTGAATCCACAGGATCAGTGTTACTCTTTCTTACAGTTCTGAATTAACATGCAAGGTAATTATTCTTTGAGTTCCTCTTTCATCGTTGCCATTTTGACAGTGCCCTAAACGTTAATACAGTATATTTCCTGAGTACAGATGTCCAATTATTATGCTTTCTCAATTATTATCACAATTCTATTGTGCCATCCTGAGGTGATCTACAAGTCGCCTTGATTCAAGTCCAGTTGTTGTGAAAGGTCTCACTCACCTAGAGATGATCCTTCAGAACTGTGTGATTTTTAGGCTCCCTTCAAGTCTGCACATCAGGCTTACTTGGGAAACTTTCTAAAATTAGGTTCCCTAACTTTAATTTTTATGCTATCCCTAGAGATTCTGATACATAGGTATAACTATAACTCATTTTTATAGCTCTCTGGAATAGAAAGAAAACTATTGGTTCAAAGTCGGTTCATAAATGCGATATTTTTAAATTGCGTTTCAATGCTTTTTTTAAAAAAATTGTTTCTCAGAGTTAAGTTTCTATGAAATTTTATGGAAAACTTGTTCTAACCCATATGTATAACCTATAACAGGCCCTCAAGTTAGCATTTGTAATGGAATTTATCATGTTGTAAAACTATTCAATTTGAGAAAACTGAAAAGTTATTTTAAAACAATAGGCTTAAAGAAATGCTATGTATTATTTTCTATTTATCACTCCTCTCCATCTCAGCCTATTGTGAAAGGGAAATTTTCCTTCCTCTTCAAGGATACTTGTTTAGTTAACAGCCATAGAAAATAGAGATAATACCCTCCTCCTTAGCAGAGACCAGGTTGACTGCTCAGTTTAATAAAGATTACATTTTGCTCCAGGGAAAATGGCAAATGAGCGGAAGGTTTTCTTGCAGTCCATTATAAATATTAGGATTTCTAAATTCCAGGGTTCTTAAGCTGTGAATAAAACTGACTGTGGACCAGCAACCACCTGGCCCACTCCCCATTTTCCCCATGGGACTTGGGGCATAAGGGAAACCAATTCAAACTGATGCTCCTGCTAGTTGCAGTAGAGTAATAAACCCCTTTGTCTCTAATCCAAGACTCCCATGTCTTCTGCCAGCATCTCTGAAACTGTGGAATATCAGCTTAGCTTGCAAGCAGAATAAAATTTGACTATTCAAACTCCTTGACAGATCTATAAATAAAAATTCAGAAAACTTGCCTCATAGAATTTCTGTGACTATGAGGCAAGTTATGTTCACAGGCAAGAACTGCTGTGAACATAATTAGTAATAAATGGAAAGTGTTTGGAATAATCCTGTTATATATGTAATCATCTCAAAACCTTATCTATTATTGGTGCTAGTATTCATACCTGTAGAAATAGATCCACTCTGCATCACTCAAAGATACATGACATACACAATAGTCACACTAAAACTTCATACCTTTAAGAATGTACCCCTGCTTAAAAGTCTTTGTCACACTAAATTACAGGCAAACTTCAATGAATACTAAGATCAAGATAATTAGTGGAAACTGTACCAAAGTGGAGAGCAAAGGTTACTTCAGAAGGGGTGACCCAAAGCATTTCCTGCTGATTATTCCTACTTAGAAAAATTAGGGACCCAGTGTTGCCAAATTACCAGATTTTAAAAGGGAATTCGTAATGTCACAACAGGACTTTTTCAAGGTTAAATATACTTTCATATGTATTTGGAGCCAATGTCTCCAAATAAGTTAAGTCTGGGCCAAATATAGACCATGGTTTCTTTGCTCTATTAAGAAAGATAGGGAGTATCAAAATTATTATATAACTATACTCTTGAGAAAGGAAGATAGTGTTGTGCATAGGGGATTAATGGAGGAGAATGATCTTGTTATAAACAAAATAAAACAATAAAAAAATTCCTTATATCTTTATTTTTAATGGCAAAGCAAAAAAAATTCCAGTTATAACATTTTTATCTCTGTAACACTTGCCTTTGGTCACCACAAACCTCAAAATCTGAGATTTACGAAGTAATGGCATCATTGGAAGGGATTTAGTCCAATCTAATGTTAAAACCCTGAGCTGTTACAGGATAGTAGCTCATGTGAGTTTCAACATGTCACTGTGTCTTCGTCAAAATTTTAAAAGATACCGTGTCACTCTTGTGCAATTACTGTGGTGCCATGGGGTGCCTCAGCTCACAGAGAGGGCACCAAACTCTGACACTATGCTGTATTCCTGTGTGCAGAGAACATGGCATGACAGGATGAATGTTATGCTTCATCAAGAATTAAATATTTATCTAACATTTCCAAGGCTTTTGGTCTTTACTTTAATTTTGTCCTATTCGTAGGTTGGATCTAGTCCAGTGCTTAGCAAAATGATAATAAATATAGAAGAAAAATTATCCCTGCTGCCGGCTATTTCTGCAAAAGCCACTTAGCTTTTCTTCCTGATTCCATTTTTCTTTATTCTTTCCTGCGCTCCACACAGCAGTGTGTGGAATGCATAAAATGCAAATCAAAGCAAAACCTGTCAGTGTCTCATGACCACTTTTGGACTGAAGTTCAGTGGTAAGTTGCTACCTTGGCATTCTGTGACACACAGGAATTGTCCTTTACTGACCATGCTACCTATACCACCTTTCCTGGCTCTTGATCTATAGAAGGCCTTTCAGTTTCTTGCTATAGCTCCTCTCATATCTGAGCCACATGCTTTACTGTGCAGGAACATTCTTTTCCCTCTCTTGTTAATTCCCAGAAAAAGCAGGAGTCATCTCTTGCTCCATCTATTGTTACTGCTTTTCCCAGCACCACACTGAGAAAAGCACCTGCTGTACTTGTCGGTATAAGACTGTGGAGGCAGTTATAAATGGTTTTCTCCTTGTAGCTCTGTTTTTAATAAGTTGTAATTAATGCTTAGTTCAGTACCTAATGTTAAGTTCAGTAAAAAATCATGTAATCTCCAGGAATGATTATTTTTATTTTGTAAAAAAGTTTGTGAGTATATAGTAGGTGTACATATTTATGTGGTGTATGAGCTATTTTGATACAGGCATGCAATGTGAAATAAACATATCATGGGGAATGGGGAATCCATCCCCTCAAGCATTTATCTTTTGAGTTGTAAACAATCCAATTATACTCTTTATTTTAAACTATACATTTATTATTGACTATAGTCACACTATTGTGCTGTTAAATAGTAGGTTTTATTCTTTCTAATCATTTTTTGGACCATTAACTACCCCCACCTCCCCCTCAACCCCTCTCCCGCCAGGACCGTTCCAGCCTCTGGTAACCACCCTTCTACTCTCTTATCTCCATGAGTTCAATTGTTTTGATTTTTAGATCCCACAAATAGGTAAAAATATGCAATGTTTATCTTTCTGTGCCTGGCTTATTTCACTTAATATAATGATCTCCAATTTCATTCATGTCGTTGCAAATGATGGATCTCATTCCTTTTATGGCTGAGGATCAGCTGAGGTCAGGAGTTTGAGACCAGCCTAACCAACGTGGAGAGATCCCGTCTCTACGAAACCTACAAAATTAGCCTGGCGTGGTGGCTCATGCCTGTAATCCCAGAGGCAGAGGCAGGAGAATCGATTGAAGCTGGGAGGCAGAGGTTGCAGTGAGCCAAGAATGCACCATTGCACTCCAGCCTGGGCAACAAAAGCAAAACTCCGTCTCAAAAGAAAAAAAAAGAAAATCGACTTTTCTCTTCCCTCACCCGCCCCACCTCCCGCTGTCATCTCTCTGCTGCAGTCTCCATTCCCCCCAACTTTTTATGTCCTGGTCACTGCCTAGAAACAGGATGATCTTTACTACATCCCAGATTCCAGCAATTTAATCGTGTTTAAGTAAAGTATGCCTCTATTCAAAGATTTGATAAGGCTTATCAAAATACAAATAGTACAAATGATCATAACAATAATGGTGAGAAAAAGCAACAGCCAGTGAAGATATACTTGGACAAAAAAAAAAAAAAAGATGGAAAGAAGAAACAATATGACACTGGGGAAAATGTTAATAGGTTGCTCTTGGCATGTTCGAATAATCTGTGCACTGATTGTCATGAAACATACAACCTCAATTTTCCAGCAGCCAAAGTAAATAAATATAGAATTTCACCTGGGGATGGGGGAGCTTGCCAAATTGTTTTAGTGCATTAGCCTATGAGGTCCAGGTTTACCTCTTTTTGCCTAATTCACCGTAATCTTTTGCGAAGCAAATGCTATTTAAAAGATACAGGGACTTTCTTGAAAGGTCAAATAAAAGAGAATGTGTTAGATAATTAAACTGTTGTGGCTGGTGATTGGACATCTCTGACTTACACACCTTAAAGAGTATGGTACTATCAAGACCAAGGAAATGTTTAAATTACTACAGAGTTTTTGCTTCTCTATGACTTTCAGTTTTAATGTCCTATTCAGTAAGTGTGGAGAAATAATTAAAGGCCATGGCTCTTTTTTGACAAACTATAAAGATGGTATTTTTATCTTAAATTTCAGATGAAAAATGTCTTGCTTTTATTTTTATTGAATTTGCAAGTTAATCTCAAATAGCTCAAAATAGAGCTAAAAGGAAAACTTTAATTATAGCTTAAGAATTTGAAGGCAAATTTTCCTAACATGGCTAACCAGTTCATCATTTGGAAGTTGTACATTCATCATGTCATTAAATTCCAGCTAACCGCAGCATTATCAAATATCAAGTGTAAGTTAATTTGAGATGCGAAAATCAATTTTGTTTTCCAAAATTGAGGGTTATTCTAAAGGATAGTATTGCAAAATATAAAATTAATATATTTTCTAGTGAAGGAAAATCTGAGCAGACAAATGAAAGAGATGTGCAGCTTGTTTATTCCTTCATACCTGTAGCATAAAGATAACTGGTTGTTGTCTTTAGCAGTTACATAACCAAACAAAAGAAAAATAGGACCCCAAATCTTTAGGCCACCTACATGGCACATTGAATATTAGAACCACCTGGTTGAAAAGTATGAAAAATTATCACTTTAGAAGCATTCTAGTATGTGATATAATTTTGAAAAATGAAATTTGAACTATTATCAAGACATTTTATTTGCATTTTACTTTGTTTGCATAAATGAAAACACCAAACAAATACAATGCTTAATTAAATTTTGAGATGACATAGAGGAAGGAAATATGTAGTCAATGCAAATTGAAATGACAATTTTAAAGGGTAGTAGAAAACCCAGTCACCAAAGGGGATTTAGAGGGCTAAATTTTAATTTGGAATATCGATCAGTACTAATTAAAAGGCAAAATGAACTATTCAATGCTTTTTTCTAGTTCAAAAACAACTTGGTTACTTATTTGACCCAGGTGAATTTTATATAGTTTCATAAATAAGGTTATCATCTCTCAAATTTGTTAGAAATATGCTTTTAGCATGCTATTAATTTTAATCATTTTTTCCAGCTTTCAATTATATGGATTATCTTTTATAAATGTTAAATTAATGAGTATCTTCTCAATTCATCAATGTATTTGATATAAAATGTTCTTTCTTGTCCCCAAATATTCTCTTTTTATATGAGAAAATAAAATTATTATAACAATGCAGGGTATTTGGCGCTATGGCTCTCACTGAAAATAAACACATAATGGTATTTATTGCATACTGAAGACTAAAGAGATTGAACCTTAATAGTTTAATAAATCCAGACTTGATGTTATATTATGTGTGTATAGGGAAATATATACATATATATTTATGTATATATACATAAATATATATGTATATTTATGTACATATAAATATATACATATATATAGATATATATATATATATCCTTTCCAGTATTTGAGCAATCAGAAAATGGTATATACATAACTACAATGATGACATTACCTATGTACATGAATTGTAGAAAATATTCATTTCTCTGGAACTCGATTCTCAAATATTTCAGAATTTTAAATGAAGAAAGTCTGTTAGAAAGGTTTTGGCAAATTTATTTCATTCATTACTATTTTTTTTTTAAGAAGGTCACTTACTTTTAGATTGCAAGCACCCTCTACTTCAGACAGGATACTTTTAAATGAGTTAATGAAATATTATTTGTTAAAACTTAAAATAGTTATATTTTGTAGGTTTTACTATACTTTGCCATTTTTATCATATGAACTAGTTGACGCTGCAACTATCTAATGACGTAAAGTGATCTTTCTTAAAACATAAGGCTTCTTCCTCCCCCATGGACTGTTAAAAACTGTTTTTTTCATAGTCACATAAGGATTTTGAAACTGGTTTCTAATGAATTTCATGTGTATGTTCTTGAAGTTTAAAAAATTACTTTTGAATTGACAAATAAAATAATATGTATTCAAATTTATTTAAAATTCCATATGTACAACATGAGGTTTTGAATTACATATACCTTGTGAAATGGCTATATCTATCTAATAACAAATGCATTATGTCATATCATTATTTTTGGGGTAACACAACACAATTTCCAAAAGTTTGTATTTAGGTAATACCCTAAATGATGCCTTTGTTACTTGTTGATTATCTTGGTGAAAATTTTTCTGCCTTTTAGGACTACCTGGAAAGACCCTCAACTCTGCTTTACTTAACCTTCTAATTCTTTAGTTTAAATTACTGTAAATAGCAATGATGGCATAATATTTCATATTGATAATACTATAAATTACAAAGATAGTTATTTGAAATTACAAATGTAATATTACATATTGGAAAAACACATAGGGAATTACAATCCTGCACAGGTCAAATAATATTCCTCTAAATAAATTGAGTAATAACAAAAACAAACTTGATCCTATAGACATACATATAAATCTGCTC